TAAACTCTTGTTGTAAATCTATTTCTCTCTCTTACCTCAACCGAGGATTCTTTTCTCACGTGGTGGTTAGAAGACGAAAAGATTTGAAGACCGTTTGAAGAAATCTAAAAGAATGGAGATAGCCCGAAGTCCAAGTGCCCGGAAGCCAGTGGGAGCTATCGTTTTATTTTTCTTTTAGGGGTCACAATCATTACACGTTTATTTACTGCGTTTTGTGAATGCATGTTGAATGTATGTTGAACGCTAGTAATGGACATGTGCGCGACCATGTCGATAGGTGAGATCGAAATTATAAATCCCTCACGAATATTAAGTCTGTTGCCTTCTGACGCCCGGAACCTATCCGACTAATGTGCACTGTCATGCACTCAGCCTCAGCAGAGCATAGTACGGTGTATGTTAAGCGGGTTACGGGAACCGCCATAGCGTGGTCGCTGTCGCACGTTGGGTTAGACTTAACTGAGTCTTGGTCAAATGGATGGACAACTCAGAGGCAATAAGTTGGGGTCATCAATGACAAGTCGGATGATTTTACTCACTCATCCAGCCAGGAGTTGGATCTTTATGATTTAATTGGAACTCTATTCCTAACCAAAGTAGTCTGCTTGTAAGACGTGCCTCAGCCAATTACAAGTACGGTGAAAAGGTGTCCTGGTCCGGTTGTAGTAATATTTTTCGCCCAACACCAGACCAAGAGCTGAGAGCCCGGCTCATCAGTTGGAACTATGTTCCTACCTAAATAGTTGTCTTGTGGAGTAACGCCCAAGCAGAACGCAAGATAATGAAATATGGATCTTGGCCCACTAGAGGTTTCGCCGGAAAGCTCCTAATCAATATCGAGGGTTATTGATTTGTTAAAAATAGTGGGAGATAATTAATTAAAGGCCTAATTAATTATTAAACATGATAGATAACCTAGTTTGCAAAATTTTCTGTAGATGGCAAACAACAACAACCCTTTCAACCTGCGTTACATCCTGGAAAACAACAAGTTATCCGGGACCAACTTTCTTGACTGGGAAATGAACCTTCGAATCGTTCTTAACTGTGAGAGGAAACTCTACATCCTCGAAACGGATCCTCCCAAGACCCCTGATGTTGATGCTCGTGCGTTCGAACTCACTTCCTTCAAGAAGTATGAGGACGACGCGTGAGATGTAAAGTGTATCATTATGGCCAGTATGACCGCGGAGCTCCAAACGCTCCACGCGGACATGGAAGTGCGTCCTATGATACAATGCTTAAGATACCTTTACCAGGGTCAACCCCAAAACTCGGGAATTTACGTTATCGAAGTCAATATGTCTGATATCACCTCTTGGGTGATGGATAATGGATGTGGTTCTCACATCTGTACTTCTATGCAGAACTTGCATGAATGTAGACAATTGACGGAGGGAGAGATACAACTAAAAGTCGGCAATGGCGCACTCGTCTATGCATTGGCCATCGGAACCTATAGTTTATCTCTACCTAGTGGTCTAATATTGCATTTGAATAATTGTCTGTTTGTGCCTAGTATGAGCAGAAACATCATTTCTGTATCCTGCCTTGACAAAGCAGGATTTTCGTTCGTTGTAAAAGACAAAACTCTTTCTGTCTTTAGAAATGATATATTTTATGCAAGTGCAAAAATGACCAACGGTCTCTATGTCCTTGACATGGATACCGCAATATATAACGTAAATATTAAGAGAAACAAACCTAACAGTTTGAATCTTGCGTACCTATGGCATTGTCGTTTGGGCCACATTAACGAGAAACACATATCTAAGTTACATCGCTCAGGTGTACTTGATTCATTTGACTTCCAGTCATATGATGTATGTAAATCTTGTTTACTTGGTAAAATGACAAAGGCTCCATTCACCGGTCACGGTGAAAGGGCGAGTGACTTATTGGGCCTCATACACTCCGATGTGTGTGGTCCAATTAGCACTGTAGCTAGAGGTGGTTATTCTTACTTCGTTACATTTACTGACGACCATAGTAGATATGGATATGTGTATCTCATGAAACACAAATCGGAATGCTTTGACAAATTCAAAGAATTCAAGAACGAAGTAGAAAAACAATTAGGCAAAAGTATTAAGACCCTCCGCTCGGATCGAGGAGGTGAATACTTAAGCCTGGAGTTCGATGACTATCTGAAAGAGCATGGGATCTTATCCCAACTCACTCCTCTGGGGACACCTCAGTTAAATGGAGTGTCTGAGAGGAGAAATCAGACTTTGCTAGACATGGTCCGGAGCATGATTAGTCTGACAACATTGCCAGAATCATTTTGGGGATATGCATTGAAAACAGCAGCACACACGCTCAACAGAGTTCCATCAAAAGCTGTCGAGAGCACACCATACGAACTATGGCGTGGGAGAAAACCGAGTTTCTCGTACTTTAAGATTTGGGACTGTGAAGCTTATGTAAAACGTCTCATGACGTCTAGTAAGTTGGAGCCTAAATCTGATAAAGTAATATTTGTGGGATACCCCAAGGAAACTAGAGGGTATGAGTTCTATCATCCATCCGATAACAAAATCTTTGTTGCTCGGAATGGAACCTTCCTTGAGAAGGAGTTTCTTTCTGCTATCACTAGTGGGAGAAAGGTAGACCTCCAAGAAATCCGAGAACCACAAGAAGAAGTCCCGATAGTGTTGGAACCTGAGCAAAGAGATCAAGCAATTGAATCTCAAATTGCTCAAGATATACCACGTAGGTCAGACCGGATACGTAATCCTCCGGTCAGATATGGATTTCTCAAGGCGAACCAGAGACCTACCTCGAGGCAACTACATGCCCCGAATCCGATCTATGGCTCGAAGCCATAAAATCTGAAATGGAGTCTATATACACAAACCAAGTCTGGACCTTGGTTGATGCGCCCGAATGGGTAAAACCCATTGGATGCAAGTGGGTTTTCAAAAAGAAGATAGACGTAGACGGGAAGGTTCATACCTGCAAAGCTAGATTGGTAGCAAAAGGTTATAGACAAATCCACGGAATTGACTATGATGAAACCTTTTCTCCAGTTGTTATGCTGAAATCCATTCGGATAATGCTTGCGATTGCAGCCTATTACGATTATGAAATTTGGCAGATGGACGTCAAAACGGCTTTCCTTAATGGGAACCTCAAAGAGGATGTCTTCATGACACAGCCTGACGGTTTTCAAATTGCTGGTCAGTCTGCCAAAGTTTGTAAGCTGCAACGTTCAATCTACGGATTAAAACAAGCATCTCGGAGTTGGTACATACGTTTCGACGAAACCATTTCCAGTTTTGGTTTCAAGAAGAACTCTGACGAATCTTGTGTATACAAGAAGGTTAGTGGGAGTGTAATAGTATTCCTAATCTTGTATGTCGATGACATATTGTTAATGGGTAATGATATTCCCGCTCTCACTTCTGTAAAGACGTGGTTGAGCGAGAACTTCTCCATGAAAGACTTAGGGGATGCTAGTTATGTCCTTGGCATAAGAATCTACCGAGATAGATCAAGAAAGTTAATAGGTCTAAATCAAAGTACATATATAGATAAAATCCTTGATCGATTTAGCATGTCTAACTCAAAGAAAGGATCTTTACCTATGACACCTGGCACGGTTCTTTCCAAGAGCCAGAGTCCTTCTACTCCCGAGCAAAAGGAACTCATGATGAAGGTTCCATACGCCTCTGCGATTGGATCCATCATGTACGCCATGATATGTACTAGACCTGATGTCTCATTCGCTTTAAGCGTGACCAGCAGATACCAGGGAAGTCCAGGAGAAGCACACTGGACAGCGGTCAAGAACATCCTCAAGTATCTTCGCAATACTAAGGATGCATTCCTGGTATACGGTGGTGAGGAAGAGCTAAAGGTGGTCGGTTACACTGATGCTAGCTTCCAAACCGACAGAGACGATTCAAAATCACAAGCAGGATATTTGTTTTGCCTGAATGG